GGAAGATTTTGGAATAAAGCATCCATCTCCCCCCACCCCCACCCTCCTCCAGCGGCGGGAGTCCACGAAACGACTCTCCTCGCAAGCTGAAGCATGAAAAAGTGCTTTACCTTTCTTCGCAAAACGTTCTTCTTGAAAAACACCCTTCTGCCTCATGAGTCATGACTCCATCCTCCAGCATAAATCCATTTGACAATAGAAGAAATCAGATTAAGTTCTTCATTGCTGACCTTGGAGCAGCTTATCTACTGCATGTGGGAAACACATACACACATTGCGTCTCATAACTACAATTCCACCTAAGAATTTCCCAAAAATCTCACAAATTTGAATGTTTCTGAAAAAACTCCAATGTGAACATTGATGCGAAATGCCTATAAACATCAACTTCCAACCTAAGATCTCAGGAATTTTTTCTAATAATTTTTGTGTAAAAGGCCACTTAGCCGACGTCCCAAAATTATAACTCCACCTCATGTTTTTCTATTATTTTTCACTTCCGTTTCGCCAAACTTTTTCATTGTGCTAACATCCTACTTCTCAAGGGGACAGTATGATAAAAATGCTGTCGGACTTTTTAAAAGGTCAGGTCGTCCAAAAACTGTTGAAATAAGCAATCGCGCAGATTTTGACCGCTTTCACGCCACACTCAAGAAATTCTTCAGACGTTTTCATGATATGGCTTTGCAGAAGAGCTCCGAGGATCCCTCTTGCTTTTCGATAGAAACAAAGGCCGTGTCACAGAAGAAACATCCTTTTTTTGAAGCCGTGCTCTGCCATCAAATCTTCTTCGGAACTTAATGGCTCAACGGAACAATGTTTTTTGCTTGCGAATAAATCCCAAGTTGATTCTTGAGTGGAAAACGTGGAAGGCATCATCTGTGGCAAGGAAACCATGGCGAAAATTGAGCTGATTTTTGCATAAAGATGCACGGAGCCGACTGGAGTAAGGTTCGCTTTTGCTCGATATGTTTTAGCATTTGTTTTTCTTTTCGTGTTTACCTTTCCCTTAATGGCTTTTTTCTTCGCGAAGCACTACCAGGAGAAAGGAAAATGGTGAAGAGAGACAGACAAACACTTATACATAACAGACCAAACCGGACCGTAGTCCAGTCAGCTCGCTGCATCTTGATGCAAAATCGACTCAATTTTCGCCATGGTTTCTTGCCACAGATGATGCCTTCCACGTTTTCCACTCAAGAATGAATTTGGATTTTTTTCAAGCAACGAAACATTGTTCCGTTGAGACATTAAGTTTCAAAGAAGATTTGATGGCAGAGCACGGCTTGGTAAAAAAGGATGTTTCTTCTGTGACACGGCCTTTGTTTCTATCGAAAAGCAAGGGAGATCCTTTGGAGCTCTTCTCAAGCTCCATATCATGTGAAATCCCTGAAGAAATTCCTGAGCTTGGCGTGAATGCAGTCAAATTTCGTGCGGTTGCTTATTTCAACAGTTTCGGGAACGTCTGACCTTTTCGAAGTCCGACAGCAGTTTTTAGTATACTGCCCCTTAAGAATTAGGATGTTAGTACAAGAAAATAAGTTTACATGAAGTGAAAAGTAATCGAAAAACATGAGGTGGAAGTTATAATTTTGGGACATCAGCTAAGTGGCTTTTACACAAAAATTATCAAAAGAAATCACGGAGACCTCAGGTGAACCTAATGATTATAAACAATTTTGCGTATATTTAAACACATTGTTAACACCTCAATGAAATTTTTTGTAAACTTTTAAATTGAAAGATTTTGTGTTTCAGGTGGAGTTATAACTATGAGATGCAGTGTATATTAATGACCACAACTTTCTTCGAGATAAACGAGTTTCAAACTGAGAGCGTGTTTGGTTTTTTTTGACTTCTTCTTCGCCACCAAAATCATGATCCGAAATGGAAAATCGCTAATCTAGGTTGATTATCGGATTCCAGAGCACCAACTCATTCTCAACTCTGGCGGATCTAGAGACAAATGCAGCACTAAACTAGAAAGATTTGCTCTTTCTCCAACGCGGATTATATGCTCGATTCGTTAGCAGTCAGAAACGCACCGTTGAGGGTTTTTGCCTGAGTACTGAAGAGGTTATCGTTCCGGAGGGCATTGTTACGCTTTCAATGACTAGCTCCTTTCAGCGACGATTTTGTACAAAATGAAAGCAGATTCAGAGCCCACATGCATTTGCTTTCGATCAGTTCTTGATGTTTTATCTTTTTGAGAGTCCTCCGACAGTGATATCCCATTACAGATCGACTTTCCATCTACAGCCGCTCAACTCTGCTACCGCGCCTGTTGTGCGTCGTGTATCGACCTATGTTTACTCCGGCACTCGACCCTTCCTCCCAGCGGGGTGAATACGACCCCCCCCCGTCGACCAGTCAAGGATTCCTCAACCGATGACCCTGGTGCGAAGCGAGAGAATAGACGAGAGATTATTGGAAACTAGTGTTGATACGCCACCACTTGATTGCTGCATTGAGCAACCAGAACTGGGATTTGTTCATTCAATTGTTGTGAGTGAATGCAGTGAGCCTCGAGAAAAAAAACACTGAAATATGATATTCATTTTTTTCTCCCGCATACGTGGAGAAGGAGGACGGCATATATTCACTTTTACGAAGCTCGACCGTCCCCCGTATGACACAGATCAACGCAGATTCATTGCGAAACGTACCTCTGAAAAATTGTCCTCTTGCATAATGTCTCTAGCACAAACTATCACAATCGGTCCTAACTCTGTCCAGCGAAAGAAATACATTTTCAAAATTTGCTTCTGAATATTCAAAGGTGCGAAGGAAAGTGTGGAGAGTGTAGTGAGAGCCTCAGAAGTTTCGGTATTTCTGGCCTACTAAATTGTTGCAGTGTGCTTATTGCTTATTTTTCAAACGTTGATCTCCAATGTTTGATCATGCCGACTTACTGCTTATCGTATTCCCTCACAATCAGTTCTGGTGAAGGTTGCGCTGCGGCAAGAATGCTATTGACATCGCCCCAGAGACGACTTTTTCTTTCAAGTTATCGAACAGTTGCGGTAAGTTCCGTCTTGAATGGTCAACTCATAGAAGTGATCCATGGAAAGACTGAGTGAAGCAAACGGCGAGGTTAAAAACACTGAATTGTACTTCGGCTGGCCAGCAAGTTATTGTATATGCTAAATCGCATTTATTGGGTTGTCTCATAATTCCTGTCTCATTTCTATTCAATTTCAAATTTCTTCCGTCTAAGA